AATTTAAAAAATTTTTAAATGTTGTTACCTATTGCTCAACTCCCTCCACAACCCTGAATTTGCTCAATCTTCATAGTCTTTGCAAAACAGAAACAAAAACAGACCAAACATTTTTTAATGATTTTGTTTGTTATCTTCTTTAATCACTGTATTTTTTAAAAAACAAATTTCCCGCTCATTAAACATCTGTTGCAATGACACTGAATGAACTCTTCCTTAGTTCCAGTAATTTGGGGAAATTTTGTCTCTTTTGCTTTCTTTGAGGTTTACTGGTTATTTAGTTGTTTTATTTATTTATTTATGTATGTTCTTGTTTTGTAGTTACTTGAGTCAAATTTATTAATCCATTTGTGTTATTGTTTTGAAATACCTATAAATCTATTTCCTCTGACTAGAAGATTAGGTATAGCTCAAAAATATGTATTATATGGGCTGTCTGCTATTCTTGTGAAAGTGGCTATAACTGGCTTGATTTTCTTTTTGTTAGAAGTTATTTTGAAAGTATAGGTAATTTTTTGAAAGTTCCACAATAAATTTCTGGAAAATAGAATAATACCTAACAGTTATTTAGTGCCATGTACTTTAATTCTCAAAAACCTCTGAATGTGATTGCTGTTCTTATCTGATAGAGGAAGAAATTGAGTCAGAGAGGAGGAGTTAAGACATTTCCCTATAGTCACAAAGTCTGTAAATTAGAGAATTAATAAAGCTATGCTTTGGGGAATTTATTAAAGATTTATCTATAATGTAGCATCAATTCGATAAAGTTCTTTAAGCATTGGGAGAGTAAGACATAGTCTCTAAAGGATATGAAATTGATTATATAGCTATTAAATCAATTTTCTAAAATAGATCATTTAATCTGATTTAGCAAAAATGTCTTATAATTCCCAAAATTCTTGACTTTAAAGATTTTTTTTTCTTCTATTTTGATACACAAAGATTTAGATGTGCCATATCTTCGCTGTGAATTAGGTAACCTTTTTCCCTTTATTACCTTCTGCCTGTGTGATGGTTTTTAGTATTAAAACGGCATCTCCTGATTTCTTTTCGTTTTCATTTATTTAAGGTCTCTTTTTTAAAAAATATTTTTTTAGTTGAAAGTGGACACAATACCTTTATTTTATTTATTTATATGGTGCTGAGGATCGAACCCAGGGCCTCACACGTGTTAGGAGAGCAACTACGGAGCCACAACCCCTGCCCTATTTAAGGTATCTTTATCTTATTTTTGATGTTACTTGACTTTAGGAACCAGGTCTCTGGCAGACAACAAAGACCTGAATTCTGCTCATAGACACATCTGCCCCATCACATAGCCTTGGCTGATGTCTTCAGTCGCTGCCTTGTTTTATATTTCCCTTTACTGTTTCCTCGTTAGCTTCAGTTACTAAATACTTTTTTTCTTTTTTCTTTTCTAGGATGAAACATATAATCAGGCTTAAATTAATGTACCATTATCTTTACCCTTTCAGACATCATTTTTAAAATCATAGAAGAGTACAATGGTATCTTTTCAATCTTCTCCTTTAGAGGCAAGAAATTTCATTCTGGTTACTTTCCATAGTTCCTTACTAATGGTAAAGATTTTAATCCAAATAATTATTTTAAAAATCATTATCCTTTTCAATTTGACAAAGTTCCTTAAGCATTGGGAGAGTCTCTCTATAGGATATGAAATTGATTATATAGCTATTAAATCAATTTTCTAAAATAGATCATTTAATCTGATTTAGCAAAAATGTCTTATAATTCCCAAATTTCTTGACTTTAAAGATTTTTTTCTTTTAAACAAAAATCTTTTTTGTTTAAAAAAATGTTCTGATGTTGCATTTACTTTTGTAGTCAGATTTACAGTTATTCAAAATGAACTCCACCTGCTGGGCTTCATCATTCATCACCAATTCTTGAACTCTAAGATCTCCCTTTATTGAGTTATTACTAATTTTTTCAGTTCTTAATCGTTTGCAATGGGTTATTTTCATAAGAAATGTATATGAGATCCCACCTATACAAGATTTTCTTGCATACACAACCTAAAAACCTGCCTGGATATAAAATTTGGGAGACTTTTATTCTCAAAATTCTGCAGTTTTATTGTATAGTTTCATGAGAGTTACAGAGAAGCAAGAGACCAACTTAAACTGGTTCCCTTGTAAGAGACCCAAGTTACCCTACTGGATTTTTCCCAAATGTTTATATTATTTCTTCATCTCAGAATTATAAAAATCCTACCAGTATTTATTGAGACTTGACTCCTCCTCAATAAACTCATTTACTACACACTGCTTCTTTCTTAGAAAAAAAATTCCTTCAATTTTTTTCCATTTATTTTTACCCTTTTTTGTTCTCTTTTTATTGGAATCACAATGTACACAAATTGTAGGGTCTGGATCTGTGTGAACATGCTACAAAGCACTGCTTCCATTGTAATTTTTAAGTACAATCATGTTTTCAAAAGAACTGCCTACATTTAATTTCTTCCCTTAGCTATTTATTTCTAGTCTTCTTCTTCTGCTGTTTTTTTTTTTTTTTTTTTTTTTTGTAGCTGTGGATGAAGAGAATTCCTTTATTTTGTTTATTTTTATTGGTGCTAAGGATGGAATCCAGTGCCTCACCCAGACTAGGCAAGCGCTCTGCTACTGAGCTATAGCCCCAGCCCCTCCTTAGTCTATTCTTAACAATTAGTTCACCTTCAACCCATCACCATTCCACAGAAACCATTGCCATGGCAGGCCACAGATGGCTATAATGCCAAAGTCAAAGACAAGATCAAGTCTATAACACTGCCATGTCCACATATGTGGATGTTCTTTCCCAGTTCTGTCTTCCTTTGTTTATTCATAAAGGATGGGCTTTCTCAGGATTCTGTCCCAGGTTCTTTTCACTCACTATCCAAAAGGCAATTTTACCTATTCTTCACTGTTTCCAGTAAAATCTCTAAACAAATGACTCCCCAAGCCTAGATGTTTTGTTTTGTTTTTTTCCCCTGAACTGCAGACCTATGCTGTTCACCATCTGATGAATCTCTCTTCTTGGATGAACCAGAGCACACAACCTCAGCATGTCCAACTCTGAATCCTTCATCTTCTACTGCAAACCTGTCCCTCCTCCAAAATTACCTATCTCACCACCATTCATTCACTCAGAGGTCTAAGCTAGAGACCCGAAGCTCTCCTCCAGCCTGCTGTAGCCCTGACCTATTCACCACAAGAGTACTATTGATTATCCTTTCCAAGTGTCTCTTCAATCTATCCACTTCAAACATTCTTTCAGACTTCTGTTCTCTCATCTGGCCTGTCTGCCTCCAGTTTGCCACTCCCTTATCTTGGATCTCTGCATCTGCTCTTGGCTCTCCTCCTACTCCTCCAATCCATTCCTCAAACTATAGCCAGTTATCTTTCTACACCGTAAATTCAATTAAGACTGTTGGCATTCCCCACTTCAGCCTGCCTCTCAAGCCTCAATTCTCTCAACCCCTACCTCCCTTCTCCACAACCTAAATCACGTGAATATTTTCTGGATTCCTAGCACACACTGGTTTATCTTTCACCTTGGACCTTTGCACATAATGAGCTCTACCTGCAACTGCTGGTCTCCTGACTCCAATTTAGACCTCAGTTCAAATGGCACATACCTGGAAAGTTTTGCCTGTCTTCTCCAGACAAGGTATACATCTTGGCTATGTGCTGCCACAGCACCCTATGGTTTTCCGTCAAAGAACTTACTGTGCTTTATTTTAATATTTAGTTAGAATGTATATGTGAAGGCAGATAACTAATTTGTTAAGGCAGGGACCATTTCTACTATGCTCACCATTGATTGCTCAATATGATGCTTCCTATTAATTAATATGTTTAGTAAATTACTTCCAACCCTAACATAATACCTGAAATGATTCGATTATTCAGCGTTCATTAAGTCAATACATGAGCACACAAAACAATAGGATTCACACCACTTTGATAGTGTTCCATCCAAGCATTCCTAAAAGAGTTGTTTTCCATGTACTTATATTTTTCAGAGGCCCAAGCTACTCTGGTCACTGGAATACCATTTTATTACTTCTCTTTAGGCCAACCAGTAAACGGAGGTCCACTTTTGTTGGTAGTATTCCTTCACTTCTTTCTCCACAACTGTGGTTTGGTTTTGTAGAGCACATCAGGGCTGGAATAACCTGCCTTATTCTAATGCAATTTCAAAAATTCTCTCACATTGAGTTGCTTGGAGACTGAAAAGAAACTGCCAGATCCCCTCTCACCTGGATTCCTTCCAATCACCACCTCCCTTTCTCCTCTTGGGGCAAGACTGAGCTCATTCATCTCCAATGAAAAGCCATTCACTACAATTTAGAAAGTGGCTACCTTCCATGATCAGGTGTCTCAAAATCTAGATGGAAGCGCCTGTACTTTAGCCTAAAGTATTCAGTCTTGGTAAAGTCCTGCTCCTCTCAAGCTTCCTATCATTTGGAAGAATTAAGACTTGGCAGAGTTATCAACTTCCTTTGAACCTGGACAGCATTTTGTACCCTGCTGTTTTAATCATTTGGGTATATCTGTCCTTGTCCTTCCTGCCACCCTTATCTCAAAATCTCAGGTTATAAAATATACTAAAGAGGAGCCTGTATCTTATTTCTCAGTCTCTGATGCTAGTACAACACCGGGCACATAGTGGTCTAAATTATTAGCGGAAATAAATGAGACCGACCATTTCTTTCCCCAGCTTTGAACCTAAATACATTTGCACACACACCCCCCTCTCCCAACAAGTTATTCCACCTCGCAGCAACTCAAGTCCCCCGGCCCGGTCCCCGCGCTAGGCTTCCCACGGCTTTTCAGACTCTGATGTCCAGTATAAAACGCTGTGGGGATCTGGCCACTAACCCACTGCTCCTGGAAAGTTGTAAGGCGTCCCGCTGTCATATGTAAAGTTAGAAAGAAAGAAAGTTAGCCTATGGACTTCAGGTAAAAGGCAAGGGGGGTTCGTTGGAGACCACTCACCCTCCCTAAACCAGGGGGCCATGTAGCAGAGAATGTGAGTTGGATCCAGAATCTTCCTGACATAGTCTCTGAAGGTGAGCAGATTCTGTCGCTGCTCGGTCGTCATCCCGGCCTCGGCTCCCGCGCAGGGTCTGCCAGGCTGGGCGCCGGCTCCCTTTTAAAGCTGTAGGGGAGGAGGCCACCGCCAGGAGGGTAGGGATTTTCCCAGAAATGGATCCTAGCTGAGAGGCGGAGCGGCTGGGGAACTTAATTACAACTGAGAAAACGGAAACCGAAACTAGCGGCCGCTGGGGCTGGGGAGGCACGGGACCTTCCCAGCTCCGCGCAGCTCAGTTTCCTTTTCTGCGGACCCCGGGGAGCTGGCCGACCCAGAGGCCCCCAAGAGCAGCCCTGGGGATTGCTTTTATGTTTATGTATCTTATTTTTTGGTTTCGCTTTTATAATGATAGCAGTTTTAGTTTCAGTAAAACGTGCACAACTTAAGTGTGCAATACGATGAGTTTTGGAAGACATGTACCGGTTTTACCTCTTCTCCCAGCTGGATCCCCTAGTAAACAGCATTGTTTTAACCTAGGAAATGGCCACCTGTTTACCAAAGTGACCATATCAGGTTGCATTCCCACTCGCACAAGAGAGCTGCAGTAGACACATATCCAGTACACGCATTGGTTTCTTTGTTAACTTCCTCACTGGTCCATGTGAAATCATTTATTATTGTGGTTATTAATGTAGTTTTGATTTTCCTTATAAGGATGCTGAACACATTTGCTTGTGCTTATGGGCCTTTCATGTAATTTCCTTTGTAAATCGTCTGTCCCTATCTTTTGCTTTGTTTTGGAGAGTTTTGTTGTTGTTGTTGTTGTTGTTGTGTTTCAATAGACTGACAGGAGTTACTTATTCTGGGTACAAAGTTGTCAAATAAAATGTATTCGAAGTATCTTCTCCCAGTCTGTGGCTTGCCATTTCATTTTCTTAAAGCTGTCTTTTGAAGAGCAAAAGTTTACATTGACAAAATCTAATTTATCAGCATTTTCTTCTGTCTACTGCTTTTTGTGAGCTTTAATTGCTCCTTAATAAATCTTTGCAAAAATAAATAAATAATCTTTGTCTGCCAGGAGGTCATTAAGATACTTTGTTTTTTCTTTTAGACTCCTTATATTTTTATCTTTTACTTTTACGTCTATAATTATCTTGAATTAATTTTAGGGCAGTATGACATAGAGATCCAAGTTCACTCTTTCCATGCTTCTGATATACATACCAGCACCATTTGTTGACAACTTTTCTTTGTTTTGTTGAACACTTAATTGACTGCATGTGTGTAGATCTAGTTCTGACTCTTTTATTTCCTATTCTAGTTTCCATTTCGGTTTTCTGACTTTTATTTCCTATTCTCTTAGGGGAAGCCTGAGAGCTCATTCATCTCCAATGGAAAGCATTACCTACAACTTACAAAATGGCTATCTTCCATGATCAGGTGTCTCAAAATCTAGATGGAAGCGCCTGTACTTTAAAAGTATTCAGTCTTAGTAAAGTCCTGCTCCTCTCAAGCTTCCTGTCATTTGGAAGAATTAAGACTTGGCAGGGTTAACAACTTCCTTTGAATTTGAACAGCATTTTGTACCCTGCTGTTTTAATCATTTGGGTACATCTTTCCAATTAAAAAAAAAATTGCACACAATGTATAATATGATGTTGCCCAGAAACTCCAATAAACATTCTTATGAATTTTTCATTTCTTATAACTTGCACGAATTGAGTCTATTCTGTTCAGATCTGTGAATAAAACAAAGCTGACAATATATTATGTATATATACACTTTTTTCTGTCCTAAGAGAAATCATTAAATATGAGTACATTTAGTATTCAATGAACAACAAATTCTGATTCCCTATACCTTGGAGGTAATGCAGAAGGCTGACACATTCCAAAATTATGTGTGACCAAATCTACCCTGCCTCTTTGGCTCACCACAACATACCAAAATTAGAGCAGTGATTAATATCCAAGTGTATTTTTTTCACTAAAATTAATCTTCAAGCCAATACCTGAAGAACTTTTCTAATACTTTCAATTAAATATTATTTTATGACTTTTCCGTCAAGTGTAATATACACAACAATTATTTCAAGTCAGAAAAAAAGAGGGTGATTCCCCCCCTGCCCTTTAAAAAAAAAAGTTTTATATCATTTTTAAAAAATCCACTTCAAGTAATTCCTTACACAATTTTCCTTATAAAGAGACTCTAGAAAGGCAAAAATCAATATAATATATTTAAAGGGTTGTCATCAAAATAACCAAATGGACTTGAAATTTACTTTTGTACAATTTAAAATTCTGTACTACCTAGGTTCCAGGCCAAAAAGCACTTATAGATGGAGGAAAGACAATTCTGATACCCTAGGTTCATATATTTCTATGTATGTAACAGCTTCAGTTCTCCAAAATACTAGGTTTAGGTTTTTTGTTTGTTTGTTTGTTTGGTTCTATATCTAAAATATTTTTAAATCTCAAAGGTAATTTAAAATTAGGGGGTAATTACATTTTTTAAATTTCGTGGATGAAGATCATTAAACCGTAGCAACTCGCAATTCTGCATAAGTGAGAATAAACATCAGAAAGTCCAAAGGGAAGAGCTAATACATGAAGATGCACCATCTGGAATTCTATGACAGTTGGAACGCATTGGGATTCAATTACTTCAATTAACCGCTTTATGGCAGAAGGCAGGTGTTTCATGATGGTTGCAGATTATACCCACGCCAATGAGATATATGCACACCATTACTGCTGTGGTCACACTCTGTGATAATTCAGAAATCCAAATTTAACCTCAGAATATCTAAAACTGGAGTATGAATTTGAAGGTAGTTCAAACAACAGTTGATTGAAACCAACAATCTTTTTTTTTTTCCTTTAAGGCTATAAAAAATCTAAACATAAATAAGGCAATTAATTCTCAGGATAAAAATGCACCCTAATAGTCAAGGTGTCCAGTCAGATTCCACAGTGAGTATATGCTGTATCACCTTCTATTCCACAGGTGTACTTTCTTATTAGTGTCTATAGGATTAAGATCGATTCTTTATTAGCTGCTCAAACAGACTCCTTTATTAGTAAATATTGTGATATTTCATTAGGTTCCCTGAACAGGGAAAGTGGGACATGCATTAAGTAAGCAATTTTGCTCTCATGATCTTATAGGTAATGATCTTGTAGGTCTCCTCTACCTAATAGTAAAGCCAAGTGTCATTTATTCTGATAAACACCCCCATCGAGTCTCAAGAAAAACCACAACAGCAGAAAAAAAGCTAGAAAGCATAACTCTAATTTTTACAGACCTGAAACACCATGATAATGAAGTACATCTTCAAATAGGAGAACTTCTTCAAAGAATTGTCTGTTCTCTGGCTTTCAATTTCTCTGTATCTGTATGATCGGTTGCAAGTATCTTTCTATTAAGAGATTCTCTAAGTAACATTCCTTTATAACCTTTATCATCTGTTGCATTTAAGTAGGACAGACCAGGCAGGACACCTAACAAGAAGCAGGTTTATAGGCTGCAGCCAGGTTCAAAAGGGGGGGCTCTTTGCCTCCATTAAATCACCCCTCTGAACCCTGAGTTCAGAAAGTTTTAGGACTCTCAGGCTGGGGATGTGGCTCAAGCGGTAGTGCACTCACCAGGCATGCGTGCGGCCTGGGTTCCATCCTCAGCACAACATACAAACAAAGATGTTGTGTCCGCCGAAAACTAAAAAATAAATATTAAAATTCTTTCTCTCTCTTAAAAAAAAGTTTTAGAACTCTATACCTAGTGTGTAAGGGGAAGGGCTCAGAAGCTCACAATCTGTAGAAGTTCACATAAAAGCAGCTTTTTTACTCTTCTGGGCACCCAATTCAGGCCAAGGACACTCTGAAAGTCAGTGTCTGGGAAAGGGAAAGTGACCCTCTCCTTTCTTCCCACAGTCCTTTGAGATGCAAATGCCTCTATCAAGGTTCCAGACCCAGGCTGGAGGCTGGAGTCCCTCACTTGGTCTCTGCAAACACACTCTCCACCTGAAAACTGTTGTAGAAATTCTTGCAGATAGTCTAAGAACAATTATCTAAACAGAATTTTTGAGGGTCTCTGGAGAAGCTTAGTTATGGCAGGGTTCTTCTGGGTGGGGGGGTCTCTGGCCTGCTTCGGTATAGGTCCAATCATATGGTTTAGTAACTTCTTTCTCGAGTGTTCACCCTCACTTCTGCTTTCCAGCTACTTTTCTGCACAGGCTACTTCAAGCATTCCTTGGTAGTTGTTTATACATCTGAATGCATCCTTAGCATTGAACTCAATCCCAAAGCCAGAGCCATGCTGGATTTTCTCTCTTTCCCACCCCGCTCCCTCCCTCGAAGGGGTCTCCCTAAGTTGCTTATGGCCTTGCTAAATTGCTGAAGCTGGCTTTGTACTTGTGGTCCTCCTGCCTCAGCCTCCTGAGCTGCTGTGATTACAGGCCTGCACCACTGCATCTGGCCCATGTTGGATTCTTAAAACCTTGTCTTCTAACATCATTTTAAATCTCTGCTGACTTCATGAGGTGGGTCTTAGTGGCCTTCAGTTTCCAGAGTCAGAAAGAGAAGTCCTGGTGGCTACTCTGCAAGCTGTGGACCATTCTGGCAAGGTGAGCCCCTGGGGCTTGGAACACACAGGAGTGGCAGAAATCACCATATCTCTGATGCCTGCGGCCCCTCCATTTGTAATAGTTTCTAATATCCCTGTGATTTCTTCTTTCACCTATGGCTTACATAGAAGAGTATTGTTTGTTTTTCAAATACTGGGAATTTTCTAAATGGTTTAGTGCTACTGACTTCTGATTTTAATCTGTTGTGGTCAGAGGGCTGATGCTGTAAGATTTCAGTCTTGAAGTTTTCTGATATGAACTACCTTTGATATACATCAGGCACACGTAAGAAGAATGGTGCTCTGCAGTTCATGAGTATAGTGTTCTATAATGTCGGTTATGTCAGATTGATTTATAAAGTTACCCAAGTCTCTTAAATCTGTACTAATTTTCTTTCTGCTTGTTCTATCAAATGCTGAGCAGGGTGTTAAAATCTCCAGCTACAATTATAGATATATCCATTTGTCCCTTTTGTTCTACACTTTTTTGCTTCATAAATCTTGTAGCTGTTATTTGAAGCATTCACATTTAGG